CATACCAACCCTGTCTGCCTAATAACGACGTTTTTCAGGCGTCAAAACTGTTAACAACATTTGTCATCCCAGGCCTGCCGACCTGACTGTAGCTAGCAGTCGGGATGTGGGATTGTCACTCCCAACATAGATCTATACACAATTGTCATCGCTCTCCCTACAAGAGACTCTGGTTATAAGCTCAGGACTTTTACCCGTACTTAGATAAGTACATAAATTATAACTTACAAACTGTTTCAACGTATTACGAGTAATAACTGAGAATTCTTTTTGTTTATAACATATAACCTTGTAAAAATAGTTTCGTTTGTCCCTTAACTATACTCATTATAAATTATAAGTCTGTTTCCGTTTTGTTATGAAAATTGTTGTGTCCTAACATGGTTGTAAACTTGTTTGTAATTTTATTAATGTGTATGTATTAGTTCATGTAATTATTTCTCGGATCTAGAAAATAGTATGAATTGATTCTCTAAACTATACCTATTATAGTTTACTAGTATGTTTGTTTGAACTGTAAATGATTCGGAGAAAAGACTCATTTGTCTAGCATATGCAATTGAGTTAAGTATGTTCTTGAAAATGAGATCTAATATTCATGTATATATTTAGTATGTATAATTATGATTTAACCAACAGTCGGACCGGTGATCCTACCCTAAGCCCACAACCAAACAACTAAACAAGGAATGGGAGTTAAGGTATTAGCAATAGTCGTAAGTCCGTTAAAGCATGATTATACATAAATATATAAATGAATATGATTTTGATACAAACAGAAATCTAAAATAGTTTAAAAGAGTTTGATAATGATTTTTAACAATATTTATAAGTATAAGAATTTCTTTGTTTGTTTGTTTTCACATGTAAAAGTTAACACAATTCTATTGTGTTTTACTTGTATTCCCTCCTACAAACATTGAAAAAGGTAAATTGTAAGGGTATGAACTCACCTTATATGAGTGATTCGATTAGATGTTCGATATAGGATGTTATTTCCACAAGTTAGCTCCGTAACAAAATCGAGTCAAAATAGAAGTGTTAGAAGCAATTTGGAAGGCTGTTATGCGTTTTCGGTTAGCTAGGGGTTTTCGGCGCAATGAAGATCTTGGGGATGTTCTTCGTGTTCTTGGTCAAACCAAGAAGATTCAAGTGTTTTCGGCTGAAGATCACCAAAAAGGAAGGTGATATCTTGACCAAATGAAGAACATTTGATGTTCTAAGCAAGATCTGAAGGAGATACAAGGTTTTTCGGATGATAGTTGAAAGAGAATGGTGGGTTTTCGGTTGATTTTTTTGAGAGCAAAGAGTGTGTTTTCGGTTGGAAGGGGAAGAAGGGAGAGTATGTTTTCGGTTCATGCTATTTATAGCAAGAATCTGACGAGAAGTGACACATACTTGGGGATGCGAACCGATGGGATAAGACCGAGGGTTCTCGGCTGCCAACTGTTTGCGGTCCGAAGGAATTGGTCAGATGCGAGGGTTTTCGGTTCCTGCGAGCCATCTCGGATTTTTGGGTGTTTTTGCTTCTTAATTACCCAATCATTTGAAATATGGTTTATACACCTAGATTTTATTATTCTAACAATAATAAGTTAAATCAAAACAAGATTTTTACTTTTATTTGACATGCTTGACTTTAGTTGACCCTAGTTTGACTTTTATTAGATTGAAATTTACGGGTTGTCACATTTAAGGATTCTGAGATTTCAGTAATTTTAAGGATCCTGAATATTATTATGGGATCCTGCCCCTAACAGGTAGACATGATTCTCGAACACGGCTCCACGGTGCACGCCAAATGGTTTTGGTCGAAAATTGATCAAGTGTAGTTCAACCAAATTGTATGAGAGGTTGTGGTGTTAGGATAATGCAAGTGTAGAATAATAATCAAGGTGAGACAAGTGAGTTACAAGAAAAACCCTTGATCCTTGCTAGGATCTTCGACATAAAACCTTAGGAGGTGATAATGATCACATGCCTTGTTGTGTTTATTAATTTCAAAGTAGGTTTACAGTGCTAATGAAGATAATACGAGTACAAGTGAGCTAGTAGATCCAATCGTGTGTGTAGTGTGTGATTTACAAGTGTTATTTATAGTTAAAGCTAAACAACAAGAAGTCCGAGATTTTTGGGATCCTCCTTGAACAAGTATTAGCATGTTGTTTGACTTGGTATTCCCGGGTCTTAAGCTTGGTTGAAGTGATTATCCATTGAGAATGAGTCTTATGGTGACTAATTTTGCACATGTGAGAAAAAGAAAGAAGAATATAGTCGTTATAAGTGTTAGAAAATATTAGTGATAATAATCAGGATTCTGAGATATGTTTAAGAATTTTGAGACTTCAGGAATATCCAGGATCATGAAGGATCATGAATGTGATTGTGGGATCATGCCCTTAATATATATATATATATATATATATATATATATATATATATATATATATATATATATATATATTCAAATGAGAGCAATTCTTATTTTGAGAACAATTCTCAACCACTCACTTATTTTTAGTACTTTAGTTTTTATTTATTTATTAGAAATTAATAATTAGATAAATAAAAAAATACCATACCCTACCCCACCCCACCCCACCCATCCCCCACCCCACGCCACGCTAACCCTACCAATATTAGATGTATTTTTCTCTCGTCTCGTTTTCACGTTAGACCTTTCATGCTAGACCGCCATTGAGACCACCAGACCTCCACCTAATCACCTGGTTTTCGATTTCACCCTCTACAAGGAGCTCATCTTTCAGGGAGTGTTTGGGATTGCTTAAAAAGTGACTTTTTGACTCTTGACTTTTACAAAAAAGTCAAAAATTCTAAAAGATGTTTTGCATTTGCAAAAGAACTTTTGGAAATAACTTTTTGGCAAGAAGGAATTGGTGGTTTTCAAAAAGACAAGAAAACATGACTTTTTGTGACTTTTGCCTTTTTACAAGGTAAATTACCTTCAAAAGTCAAAAAATATTTGGCAAACACTTTTTAAAATTGATTTTTGACTTTTGCTCCCTTAAAAGTTAAAATCAAAAAGTTCTTTTACAAAAAGAACTTTTCACCTTGAAAAACAATCCCAAACACCCCCTCAATATCTATGCCACAAGTCTCAATCATCAGCAGAGTTCGTTGGTGTTGCTCAAGTCCTAAAACCATAAACCGGAAATCGTTATCCATAAACCCTAAAGCTAAACCCTAACTAAACCAATAACCCGAACCTTAAGAAAAACTATTCTTAAAAAAATACAAATTTTACATACCACGTAGATGTTTTTGACTGATCAATGATATTTAAAGATAAATTAGGTTATCTAAACTATAACATATTTCTAGAATAAAGCTAATCAATGAAAAATGTGTAATTTTCGAAAGAAAACTATTAACCACACAGAAAACAATTAATTGGCAAAAAGAAACAATTCTTTACCCCTCTCTATCGTCCGCTGCATCGCGCGGTTAACCTGCTAGTATATATATATATATATATATATATATATATATATATATATATATATATATATATATATATATAAGTTCAATTGAGAAAATAAAAAATGTTGAAAATTGAGAAATCATTCTCAACCAATCTTTTATTTTTGTTGCAAAACGCTCTGGCATACCGGGCCGACACAGGATGAGTAATATTCATATGTGAACATAAATATAAGTGTATTCATATATGAATACACCATCACCTCCTCCATCAACCACCACCACCACTGCCACCAACCACCACTACCACCTACGCCACCACCACCATCTCCACAACCAACCACCACCAACAACCGTCACCTCCGCCACCACCCACCGTCGCTATATTGATATATGAATAATCAATTGCGCTATACTTATTCATATAGGAATATATATATATATATATATATATATATATATATATATATATATATATATATATATATATACACACGTATTCATATATGAATATGATCTGTTCCGTCGGCTCGGTACGCTGAAGCGTTTAAGCGGCAGATTCGAAATGAGTGTTCCATATTCATTTCCTCGTTCTCAAATTGTTTTTTTTTTCTCAATTGAACTCTCCCCTATATATATTAATACTTTATTTTCGGCAAATAAGTTTTCGGCAACAAAATCCAACTTCAGCAATAAAATTTCCTTTCGTTTCGACATGCTGATAACCGACTGAAATTACTGATGTCAAATATATATAATCTGATACATGACCTTGTAATGAGTTCCCATCAATTGGTATTAAAAATGCAAAAATATAATAACTGGTAATTGGTTTGGGCAATTTGAATATGTTCCCATGTCATGATCAATTCCTTGAGTACCAATGGAACAGTATATAAATCTTTTATATTTTAAATCGAAAATGAACACTTCAAAAATTACTTAAAAAAAACACAATGATAGTCTGTTAAAGAAAGTACATTATTGTCTTGGGTTAATTAAATGTATGTTACTTGTGTTGGGTTAAATATAAAATTATGTTACTTTCCTGTTCCAAAGAAAATAAAATGGCAGGTGTTTTTATTATGTTAAAATACATTGCAACGAATAGAAAAAACATCATATAAAAAAATTATAATTACAATCATTTTTTAATATATTCTTTTCATCATCATCATAATAATAATAATAATAATAATAATAATAATAAATTATAGAAATAAGGGTTTTTATAGCTTAGGATTTAATTTCTCATGTTTTAATATTAACGTTTTTATATATGTTTAATATTTGATCTTGTAAAAGAAAAACACAATCATAGTTTTAATACGTGCAATGAATTAGTGACATGTTTTTATAATAATTTACATCATTTACAAAAACCAATGCAATGTTTATTTAGAAAAAAAAAAACTTATTTTTAGTGGCAAATCCTTGAATGAATTCGTATTATTATGTCACTTATTTTAATTTTATGATTAAAATCAATATATCCTTCTATTTTACGCATTTATCCAAACTAGATGGAATTAACTGTGCCTTTGGCGCCGTGTTTCTTTTTTTTTTTTTTTCTTTTTGTTTCATTGCAATAAATTAAAGTTAGGTTAAGTAAATTTTTGTGATTCCAGGGACAAAAATGTAAATTTGCATACAAATATGTCATGTCATCATATACCCGGCACTTTGCAGAAATCTAAAAGACTTTTTGAAGTACCATCAGAATATTAAACTAAAAGCTGCAACAAAAAAAAATGAAACATAAAATTAGTAAAACACCATGAAAAAGAACTAATGTAATTATAACATTTTACATGTAATTGCAATGCACTTGTGTTTCCTTATAGGTAATAGCAATGTACTTTAATTTTTATACAGAATAGTAGAATAGTTACATTTTTATCCATTATAATAACATACTTAAACTTTGCTATCAATATAGGCAATGTATTTTATTTGTTACATAATGTTATTTTTTATTAATGGGTTAATCTCAAAAAAAAATCCCTTATATTTTGGGTTTTTTCCGGAATAAACCTCAAAATTATTTTTTGCCTGAAAAAGACCTTGTATTTTTTTATTTTTTCCGAAAAAACCTCAACTTTGTATTTTTTTCCAAAAAAAAACCTTCAACCTTCTTAATGCTTCCAAATAAACCCTAAAAAATTTTAGTTTTTCTCGAAAAAAAACCCAACATTTCACAATTTTTTTGGTAAAAAATGACTAAAAGGGTCAAATCGAGAAAAATGAAAAAATTCAAGTTTTTTTCAGACAAATGTAAGTTTTTTTTAGTTTAACCCTCTATTAATAGAATGTACAATGGGTAAAAACTAAAAAGTAAACTACATTTGCATATATTACATTACTATTTTTGGCAATTTATAGAATATTTCCTACCTAACGATTTTGTTAAAAGTAATGAATCAAAAGTTCAAAACAAAATATGGAAAAATTAATTACCTTGTGAATTGAAAAGTCATTGTAACCCTTAACCTCCTCAATTACTTTATCCAAAATACACTCCGCACCAAATACACCTCTGGGATGCAACATTTTGGTGAATCTGATGACATCTTTATCTGTGTAAATACGCCTCACCAATAAAGGATGGTTTGCAATCTGATATTTAAAAAAACATATATTGAAATTAAAAACATGTGTCTAATTTATGTATTCTTTTCATGATTAAATGGAATAATTAATCATGAATTGTGTTGGTATCTATTACACATCATTAATTAAAAGAGTGAAATTAATGTTGATGTAAAGTTACCTGGTGGCATCGATGAGGCACAAACTTCATTTTTTTGAAAATGCCAATGAAATCTAGAACCATGTTTAAATGTTAGTATATTGTACTTGTGCATGTTATGTAATGGGAGTTTGGAAAAGCACCTGGATAATATTCATTTTTGTCTGAAGTGATCTAGAAATCTACTCTAGAAGAGAAGTCAAAAGCAATTCGTTAAAGGGCATTTCTGTTCGAGATCTCAGTGATTGTTGAAGCATAACATGAAGACATACAGAATTTGAAGCGAAGGGTACCATGCAATTTAGATGATAATCTCAGTAATAAGAAAGAACATATAACCTGGAAAAAAAATAATAATAAATAAATAAATAAAACTTACAAAAGAAAAAAAATACACATGATAATAGTACAACAGAAAAAATGCAATAACATCACAAACATTTCAACAAAATGAATGATACTCATCCAAAAATCATTCATCTTTCAACAAAACAACTGCAAAGTACATATATGGTAGGGGTGAGCAAAAACCGCACCGCAACTAAAATTAACCGCATAAACCGCAACCGATTAACCGCAACCGCAATAAAAACCGATGGTGATGTTTTCTGTTTTTCAAAAACCGCAAATTTGCGGGGCGGTGCGGTTATTGGTTTGCAAAAACCGCACCGCACCGCATATATTATATATAATTTTTTTATTAATTATTAATATATTAAATATTAAAAATAAGACAAGTTTCATGGATGAAAAAAAGATAAAATTCTAGAAGACAAAAGTGCAGGTTTTTCTTATGTTTAACTTTGAAAAATGGTGAAAGTTGAAAATTTTAAGATATTTATTGTTAATTACTAGTGATTTAACGTTTTTAAGATATTAGTTGTTTGTAATTTAACTTAATTGTCTTATACCTTATGGTTTTTAATATGTTTAAACTCTTAAAGTTGTTTGAACTCTAAAGTGCGGTTAAAAACCACACAAAATAACCGCATCAAATCAATGCGGTTAATAACCAAAACACAAAAAAAATAAAACCGCACCACAAAAATAACCGCCTAACCGCACCGCAAAAATAACCGCACCACGCGGTTTTGAAAATGGATTAACCGCATTTGCGGTTAGTGGTGAGGTTTTGGCCAATAACCGCACCGAACCGCACCGCTCTCACCCCTAATATTATATGGGGATAATTGACATCAAAACTCCTTACTCATTTGTAAAAAAGAACAGAAAACAACTTTTTAAAACAAAATTAATAGAAGTTATTCAAAGATCGTTCCATTTTTAACTATGCAACTACACATGTAATCCGACCAGACAAAATATATGCAAACCAATAAGAAAAAAAAATCCCTAAAAGCACTCATCTTTTGACAAAGCAACATCAAAAGGTTAAAGTCATTTATAGAAGGCAAAATAAAACAGTCTTTTTAAACAAAATATATGTAAATCATTGAATATTGATCTTTTTTTAACAACGACGGTACACATGCAACAACATCAGGCAAAATATATGCAATGGCAATAACATCAAAAAACCAAAATCATCAGTAATAATTTACAGAAAATGGCATAAGTACCTTACAGACAAGTCACAGGCATTTTGCACAAGATATATAAGTCGATGAAAAAAGTATTACCTGTAAAGGCAGATGCACAATCGAAGAAGAAGCGGGGAGAAAACATACCGAAACAAATACTGACCCACATCGACGACAAAGAGAAGAAGAAGACGTTTCCCCTTTCTACAAGATACATAAATCTAACCACACAACATCAGAGGAAGAACACCACAAAAACATCACAGATCAACAAAAAAGGATGTAAGAAACGTAGTAGAAAGGCAAATCATAAACGACGGAAAATCAAGGAGCATGTAACCTGAACTAACCCATTCACACCTCCGTCTTCGATTATTGTCGATAACAGTGATCCCGACTTCTTCAGACCACCTGGAATTCTTTGAAGCCTACAAAAAAATCAAATAACAAATTTTAAGCCATATTGATTTAAATCAAAAGAATCAGAAGAACATCGACTGAAAGAATGAGGGTTAGGGTTCAATAGCCACAGCCGATCAATAAACTTAATATGAACAGAAGGGAAAACAGAAATCAGTCGTACTAACCCCAAATCGCAAATACTTGGTGAAGATGGACAGGTAAATCAAACTCAAGTCGAAAAAAATCGTTTCTTCTTTGCAGACAGTCGTCACCGGAAAATTGGAAGACTCGACCTCCATTGCACACAGGCCACACGAGACTGGTGGCAGCAACGCTGTTGATTTTCTTGTCTTTCTAATATCTGCACAACTCACAAAATTCTAAATCAATAACATGGTAAAGTCAACGATAACAGAAGAGAGAAGGAGGAGGGGTCAGATTTTTTGTCTGAAAGACCAATTATTTTCACACCCAAACATCGATTTTTGTGACCTAGAAATCGCGATTGTTGTGACCCAGACGAAAACCCACCTTAAAAATACTATCTTCTTTCACTCTCTATATAGGACGTTCTATTTCAGTCGATCAAAACACGCAATCGATTGCAATCCTTTCCGCCTCTTTCCTCTGGTCGCACAAGTCAAAGACATCAAAGAGAGGTGATGAGAAGGTGGGATTCGTAGAGAAAAACCAAATTAATACCAACGGACGGTCGAACCTGCAGGTAATACTGATTTTGGAGATGAAGCGATGAGCTTCCTTCATCGTTTCATCGCCTCAATATCGGTAAGGAACCATCAAAATCGGAACCCATCAAACGAATCACAAATCGACGAGAAGCCATCAAAGGAAGAAAATGGTGGGTTGAAGAGAAAACGATGAATAATAGAAGCAGTGAAAAAATTAAGGAGCGCCTGCTGGTGCAAGAAAAGGGAAGGCTTTCCGGATGAAATTGGGAGTAGTATTGGAGAATAAGGGCAGCAACCAGCTTTGAGGAACAAAAGATAACCATGAAAAAATGTATGGCGGTTTGTGCGAGAAAAGGAGAAATAGAAGTTTCACTGACAAAATAAGAAAGTCAAAGAATTCTGTGTGAAAATAAGAAAGAGAAAGAAGTTAAGTGTAGCTAACGTTTTAAGGCTAAGCGGAGTGCCACTCGCTTTGCTCGCCATTAATGTTAAACACCACCCCCTAGCTCTCGCTAGGGGGCTTGTCAAAGCCAATTCGTCATGCATAAAGCGAGAAGAAAGAGAAACCACTAAAGGGCTTTGATCGGTTGAAATGGTTTTTTTGGGTTTGGATATTTGTTTCAACCTGTCGTACTCAATTCTACCAAAATTAATTTATGCATAAAATTAAATATCTCAACAATTCCATCTAAATTAATTTATGCATAAAATTAAATATGTCAACAACCTCAACAACTTATTGTGATTTAATTAAAAAAATGTTTTTAATAAAAAAATATATATTCAAATACCATTCAACTAATATAAATTAAACCACACTCTCACCAATTTACACACCTAAAATATTATATCTCTTTCACAAACTCTCTCAATTTAAGAAAAAATGTCTTCATCTCAAACAAAAAAACCCCAAGAAGTGTTTGTCATTAGTGTGTGTTTTTTTATGAAGTGAGTTTTAATAATGAAGTGTGTTTTTTTATGTATTAAATCGTGTTTTAGGTCTTAAGTAGTATTAAATCGTGTTTTAAGTTATTGTAACTTTTTTTATTTAATATGAAGTGTTTGTCGTTAAAAAAATTATATCAAATTAATTAAATAAAAAAAATTGTTTGTGTAATATTAAATAAAAAATTATTTAATATTAAATAAAAAATGTTTGTTTATTATAATAAAGTAATTAAATTAAATTACAAAAAAAATACAAAAAATATATTTTATATAGTATTAAATAAAAAATGTTTGTTTATTAAAATAAAGTAGTTAAATTAAATTAGAAAAAAAATAATAAAATGAAGTGTTAGGAGTGTCACCACTCCCTACCAAATGTTAAGTTTAGGTGTTAAAGGGAGAAAAGTGAAGTGACACTCAAAAAGCTGATGTGGCAAAATGCTAAAGGTGTTAACACTCCCCTTAGCCTAAGAATTAATAGTATATACTAATAGATGAAAAAGTAGAAACTTACTGTGGCTCCCGTCTTTCACAATGGGGGCGTGTTGATGAAATCAATAAAAATAGTGCTTTTACTCCATTTTGCAATGTCATATATATTTTATTATTTAAAAATATCCTAATCTTATAAAAAAACCCTATAGATACTTGATGTTAAAGTTTAGTACACGATATTAATTATTTTTATCAAATTTATATGCTCAATATGAAACATATTTTAAAAAAATTACAAATTATCCATATAATGATAGTCATATATTTTCACAAGAACATTGACTGGCTTGTGAAAGAAGTCAAGCTCACTCTATTAAAGGTTTAGTGGGCATTTGATTCACATTATGTTTTTGAAACCATTCGAATATGTCACGAAATTGAGACACGAGGAAATTAGAGCCTCAAATCCAAAGTTATCTGCCTTCAGAACTTTTTGCTTCAATAGAATCACAGACTATATGATATGAAATGAAATTGGATCTAAAGCTAAATTACAGCTTAAAATCTGAATATTTCTTTCTAATGTAGTTATGTAGAGTTTACTACATTGTAACTGTAGTCTCTTTTAATGAAAGTAAGTTGCTATAATAATCACTTTAATGAAAGTATGATTCTAGAATAAACAATTAAATGAAAATAAGTCGCTATAAGAAACAATTAGATGAAAGTAAGTTGCTACAATAAGTAATTATATGAAAGTAGAACATTGTGATAAATCATTGAATGAAAGCAAGTTGCTACAAAAAATAATTAAATGAAATTCAGTTTCTTGTGTTTAATCCAAGTCATTATATCCAACTCCCAACTCAAATAAAAAACCGTCTATGCATCCTTTGTTGTTCCCAGGGCCGGTCCGATAAATTTGAAGGCCCAGTACGACTAGTAAAAATGGGCCCCAAATATATATATATATATATATATATATATATATATATATATATATATATATAATATATATTGGGAGGGTTCAATAAAAAATGCATAAACAATAAAAAAAACCCTAAAAATCTATAAAACAAATATAAAAACATAAAAAAATACTTTGAGATATCTAACATTTTGTTGCGTTTTATAACATTTAATTAAAAAAATTAAATGTTATATATATATATATATATATATATATATCTGAAAAAATTTTGATTTTTTTTTTAAATTAAAAAAATTAAAAAATAAATTTGTTTTTTCAGCAAAAATATACCTATACATACGATTTTTATTTATAAATGGTAAAACGAAGCATAAATGAAGGGGTAAAAGTGTGACCTGGAGAATAATCCATTTAATTAAGCATTAACTATGATGTAAATTTATAAAAGTTGAGGGACTAAAAATTTAATTTCTAAAAATTGATGTAATAAATGAAATTGAAAGATTGGGTAGATTGTAGAACATAAATAATATATGAGGGGGTAAAAGTATAACTTGGAGTCTATATTTATACAACGTCATTTTATAAAGGGTAGATTGTAAAACATGAATAATAAATAAGGGGAAAAAAGTGTAAATTGAAGTATAGCTCTATATTAATTTAACGTCATTTTAAAAAAGTCTATGCGCCGGGGAATCGAACTCGCGTTACTCCAAAAGGGTAAGACGCTTCAGCCTAACTAGTGCAAATCACTTTTTTATATCTAGATTTGAATAAAACAATATATATAAATTACTTATTAGATAATTTGGTTAAAAATTGGGCCCTATTTTTCTCGGGGCCCTGTGCGACCGCACACTTTGCACTCCCTTAGGCCGGCCTCCACAAATCACGTACATATGAATTAGTATAGTTCACACATGCAAACCAACTCAAACTCTTTTTTCAAGACGTGTATTGAATTAATGCATTACCACAACCTGCAAGTTTTGATAAGAACCGAACATATCATAAAAAAATTAAAAAAGCTCTTAACAATGAACAATTTAGGGGGTGTTTGGCTAAGCTTGTTAAAACAACTTATTAGCTTATTAGAGGTTCAACACTGCTATAAGTTAAAAAAAGTGTTTCGATGAAAAATAGCTTATTTCGATGGGAAACCTTTAATAAGTCATTTTTTCATAAGTTACCCCACACTTACTTATACTTATTAGCTTATAAGCTAATAAGGTAATAAGTTATAAGCTAATAATCAATAAGCTTTTTTGCCAAACACCCCCTTAAGAGAAACTTACTAATGTTGATTTTTTATTTTATTGTTATTTATTTTTATCTTTTTATAGTTTCCTTGAAATCTTGGTTCAACTTCCACCTAGATTATATAGCACATAAACATACATAACAAAAACAATGAGAAAAACGGAAGTACCACATATTATAGCATAACAACAAATGTAATTTATACTTGAAATGATATCTATGGACTCTTGTTTTGCATTACTAGAAACTTGATTTTCAGTTACGAATTTAGAGAGGGATTTATTCTGTAGCAAATTTTAGGCCTTATAGAGAGGGAATTACGAGAGATCTACGATGGTTTAAACAATTGTTTTATTTACTCAACATATAACATGTTAGAGAGGTTTTAGCGAGGGATTAGCTACGATTCTCACAAGTATTTATCGACGCACCTTTATTCCTCGGTAATCGGTTGAAAACGAAGGCATTTGGCGAGGGTTCAACGAAGGAAAAACATTGTCGACTTTTTGCCATCTGGTACGTGTTTAGCGAGAGAATACTGACGGAGCATATGCACGTTATGTTTTTAACATTGACGATCTCTCGCAGAAATTGACGCTCCAATTCCAGTTTCACGAAGTTTGTGTAAGTTTCCTTCCGTCCCAAATCTGATTTGTCACTCCAATTGAACACGCTCTCACCAAAATCTGAAATCGACGACACTCTCGAGTTGCAGCTTGCTTAACCTAATCTCACCTTCTCTGTTCAAACAGATGACGACACCACGGACCATTACAGCTTCCGATTCCGACAGCCTCCACATTTTTAAAATCTGAAATTATTCTTCGTTAACTTCCAATTCAGGTAAATCTCTTGATTTTATTTGCTTTAGTCATATATTAGGTTAGGTTTGGTTCAGTTGCACAATATAATTTCTCCATTTTTTTCCTTTTTCAGTCGTCATTCCTCCACACAATACAATGCCCCTGATATGCAAAGTTGTTAAAGCTGGAAAATCCCAAGGTGTTTTGGGCGTAATATTGCAAGGTCCAGTCACAATGCTAATTAGCGTGAAATGTTTGAGTGAATTAGAGGTAAATAGGAAAGGAGGCAGAAGAGGAACATGGACATTATGAGCATAGGCAGGGGGCATTATTAGCATGGGAATTTTTCAAATTCCCTCCATGTAATCTTGAGATATATACTCTGATAGCCATTGGAGTCTTTCAAGTTCTGTTTCTCTCTGAATATACAGCATATGGAACTCTAAGAAATTAATGCACTTTGGTATGACCATAAAAAGCCTTCTGCTCTTACACTGAGAGATATACACAGACACATAAACACATACAAACACATAAATACATACATAGAGAGAGATGTTGATGTAGTTGAATTGTCTGTGATGTATACAACCACATGTGGATATGATTGCTGTAAATGGAGTGGAGTGACATGCAACACCCAAACAGGTCATCAGCCCAACTCCTATCTTCTCATTAGAAGTGGATAAAACAAGGTTAGCATTAAACCTTTTCATGTTACATGAGTGTCATCTAAAAGATCTAGTAATAATAACATAACTTACAATAACAGAACTCAAGTATCTGCTCTGAAACAAATCAATTAGTCTGGCTTTTGGGAGCCTTTCCAGTGTTTCTATATATTCTTGTGAAAAGTTGCAAGATTTTGATAATTGATACCCGTCTCAATTTTCATAATTCTGTGAAAAAGAAAAGGTTTGAAATGCTTACCCTAATTTCAGCTGCCTCTTCAGATACATCAATTTCCTCCCCACGAAGTTTCCTTAGTGCAGCATCAAATTCCTATGTTTTATACATGTCAACCTATGTTCCTCCTATCAATTTATTGACTTTTTCTTTCACTTTTATCATGTTTTGACTTCTATCTTGACTAGTGGAGTTGACTTCTACATGAAAAACAACAACTTTATGATGATATCTCAATCACAACACCACAAATTACAACTCCCAAACCTCAATTCTACCCCCACTTAGATACAAATTTAGTGGATCTTTATTTCCTTAAAAAATAAAT